ACATAACTGCATTTCTTTCCAGAACACGGTAAATGGATCATAATGATTTTATTTTATGTTTTCAGCTGCACAGAACCCTAGACTTAAACAAACATCGTGACACAGTGGTTAGCGTTCACAACCCATGTATGGAGGCCTTAGCTCTTGATGCGGTTGACCTAGGTTTCGAATCTGACCTGTGGTCCTTTGCTGCATGTCTCCTCTGCTCTCATACCCCCTTTCCTGACAGCCTACTGTTGGAAAAAAAAAAGCCATTAGTGCTGTAAAAACTTCAAAAAAATAAATAAATAAATCAGTATGCAATTTCTTATTGACAATGGCAGCCACAGCTCACATTTACTAAAGGGAAATGGTCCTGGCAGACTTTATAGCATATAATATTATACAGTAAGTAAGCAAGTAAGTAAGCAAGTCTTTATACTTATCAGAAAAAATGAATTCAAATAATTAAAATATGTTTTTGTTTTTTTTACACAGAAATGTTTATAATCATCCAACAAAAGTGGCAACTTCATTTATTCAGAGAGACCCCAAATTCAACACAGTGGTAGGTTATTTTCCTCACATGGAAGAAACATGAGGACATTCCCTGCTGGTTTCCACCCCCTGACAGCTTCCCTGGGATATTCATGCAAGTTTGAAACTGAATAATTACGATTTTCTGTCAAAACGAAATGATGAAAACAAATCTTAAAGCAATACACCATCAAAGTCTGATCCCCCCCCCCCCCCCCCCCCCATTTCAATATCCTAAAATGGACTGATCTGTCTCATCACTGCATTTCAATTCAATTCAAAATATCTCCATGATCCCAGAGACAAAAAAATGTGTCTTTGTAACTGCTTACCAATAATGTATTTATTTGATATATTGCGGCATTATCATTGTACAAGTTTGCCTTTTAGATTAACATCAAGAGAAGGAAGAAAGTCCACAACATTGCTTTCTGCCATTTGAAGTTGCATTGTTGATAAACACAATTGCAGGAATGAGTCCTACATATGTGTTTCGCCTTTCTGAAGAATGTTAAAACTATGTATGTGTTGTGTATGGAGCAGTGGTTAGTGTGTAAAAGCCTAAAAAATATATGGATATGTCCCATGTGCATTGATAGCAGGCCAACTACAACAGACTGAGACATAAACTTTTAGTTAAGAAACACTGTGGTAAAACCACTGCAGTGAGGGGCCCTTATGTTCTCAGCGTCCCATGAGAGGCAGATAACAGCTTGTTAAAGTTAATTATCTTTGATTCACAGCACATCTTAGAAAATGTGGGATTCTGGCTAAACAGGAACTTTTTTTGTCTATAAGGTTGTAAGGTTGGGTCAAATAAGCCTTGGCATCCATCTGTTCCCTTTCAGACATTTGTAAAATGTATATTCTGGTATATATATATATATATATATATATATATATATATATATATATATATATATATATATAAGCTCATGATGTTTCTCCATCTATTTTCTTGTAGCAGCTGCAGAATTCACTGCTGTTCCCAAATCCCTGCTCCCACACTTATGAGAAACACCAGTTCACAATAGCTGGGGGAAAAATAAATTCGATGGTCTACTCCAACTTCTTTCGCAACAAGACTGAGATTGGGAATCATTTGACTGTTTTCCAGCTGGGACACATTTCAACACATTCACAATGAGAAAGTGTGACATGTCGTGAAATGAAAGTTCCACGTCTCGTTGCTTTTAAGTTGTTGAGTAAATTATGAGGAATCAGCTGGCAGGGCGCCAGTATCCCTGAGGCAGAGTGACGCATTACTCAAACTTTAAAGAGTTTGAGTAATGCGTTGAGTTCAGCTCGGATTATCTGCCAAATCTGACAGAGACTTGGATTAGATCCAAGATTCTAAATGTTTATGATGAACGAGAAAAGATATTGATTTGCAGATACAATGAAGATTTATCATCATGCAGCAGTAAAGAGGAGAGGGAATGGCATCCTGAATTCAACTTTATTGTTATTACACTGTCACGAGTACAAAGCAATGGAATTCACTGTCCTCATTTAACTGTGCGGCGCCCAGGAAGCAGTATAGGATCTGGCTCAGGGATTGAGGCTTGAACTCAAAACCTCCAAGCGCAATGCCCTAACCACTGGGCCACCACTCCCCTGATAATTGAGCCACGGCATTCAACCCATCCCCTTGGGGATCAGTAGGCTGCCATTGTGCGGCGCCTGGGGAGAAATCTGCGATTAAGGGTTTTGCTCCGAGATCCAGAGTGGAAGCACTAAGGATCGAACAGGATACTTACAACCTTCTCAGAGCACAAGCACACTGCTCTAACCATTAGGCCAACACTGTCCTATCTTAAGCTTTGGTAGTTTTAATTAAAAAAAAGATTAAAAACCTAAATACTCTTTAAAGGCTGTAGTGTAGCAAACGCTTGCTTCTGTAGTGACGTTGAACTAGGACAGAAGACAAAAATTCCAACTCAAACTACTTTATTTAAATTTCATGCTCTCTTAACTGTGATATAATTTTGGTTTTAGTTAAAAGATGATTGTTTGGTGTAGGGAAAACGAAGCATGGCCTTTAAAAGTTCTAAACTGAAATCTGAAATGTGGACTTTGCTTTTATCTTTAACCCTTCTGAACTTTGATTACAAAGACATTTTTTATTTGGTGACTCCTCTTTTCTCAGAAAGTTACATTTTGTTAAATTGCAAATATATTGCTGTTAAGGTAAAGCTAACACGGGAATTTGTTGCCACATCAGCTCGCCACGTTTAATTGGCTGGCAGAGAGAAGAATGCCACTGAAACACTCTAAGTTACCTCATATAATTTAAAGATATACCGTGTCCATGTCTTAGTCTGTTTCCACAATAGACACCATGATCAACCTGGACCTTCTTTATTATCACAAGGCTCCTGGACTCAGATGGAGTTTGTTATCCTTCCTGGTCTGCAGCTGGAACCAGCAGTAACTTAAAGTGCATGCCTAATTACTTTCAAGGTCAAAGCTACCCCGTACACTGCAAACACACTCACAAGTTCAACAATTCCTCACAACAATAATATAATTTAAAAGTTTTATATAACGCTTTGTAAAACACAGTAATGATTATATATTTGTGATCCATCCTTATAATTGATTGATTGATTGTCTTTACTGATCTATCCGTGGAAGAATGTACTCGTTACATCAGCTCAAATAGTCAAAGGAGAAGAATAAGCTGACAAAGGAAGAAAAATGTGCATGGGATATAAGCTCAAATATCTTCCACATTGCCCAAACCTACAATGCTTTAATCTGTTTTTTAACCATTCCATTGTAAAGCAGGATAAGGATCTTTCTTTTTTCAAGTCTTCTGCTTTAGTAAGTTTTCTTTGGCCCTTCTGATGAAAAGCATACTTTCACTGTAGGGGTGTTTTCAGGCTGATGTGAGGGGTGACTAAATTTCTGTTCTGGCCTAATCTGACCAGAGTACTTTCTCCTTCTTCTTGTGTGTCCTGCATGGTTTGCTGTAAAGTTGAAAAAGTTTCTTTCATCTTCACAATAAAATCTATATTTATGGATTGCACTGGTCCTTTTAATAATTTCTCCAACTGTCATGAGGCAAGGACAGATGGACCCAGTATTAAGGAGAGACAGTCAGTAGGGAAGTTCAAAAGGTTTATTAAAATAAAAACAAAACAAAAGCGGAGCTGTGGCTCGCGGACACTGCAGGCGGGGGGGCGGGGCACCGCCCAATCTCAGACACTCTAGGGGAGGAAACACAGGTAAGTGACCATGATAAACTGATATGATTATCTGGGTTGGTCACCTACCTGGTCCAGACCACGAGTGTCCCCAGTGCTGCAGTCCCAGAGGTCATGCTGGAAGCCGATCCTGGCGAGGGATCCAGAACAGACAGGAACAGACAGAACAGGCAGGATCCAGATCAGGCAGGAACAGGTGGCAGGATCCAGACTTCCAGGCATCCACAGGCTTCCAAGAGGTTCAGAGTCAGACTGGGACCAGAAGCATGACCAGGTGGTCACGCACAGGAGCAGACAGGATCAGGTGCAGACAGGCAGGCTCAGTGGAAGAGGGTAGCCGAAACAGGACGAAGAACCGGAACTTGAAGCAGGACTTTAAACTGGTCTCCTCCTTGGAGCCAGGCTTACTGGATAAAAACTGAACCTCCCCCCATAATGAGCCAAAAACCCAGAGGACTCCGTGGGGGAGGAACAGTGGACGATCAGGAGATGAGACAAACACTAAAACCCTCATTCCACTGGCAGCTACAGTAGGATCCAGGACACAAACCATGAACTAAAACTGAACAGAAAGACTGAACAGAAAGACAAGAAATGATCTGGCACTGAATGCTCAGGCTGAACTGAATATAAACCAGAGGAAACAGGTGAGAGGAATAAATTATAATTGAGGCTGGGAAGGAAGAGGGCAGGTTGAGAGGAATTACTAATTAGGGAGGAGCAAACAGGCCAGATCATGACACCAACGAATGTTGTGGATCCCTCTCTGACCAATGCACTCCTTAAGCTTAAAAGCCATGAATAAATAGTATAAAGGGAGGCAGTTGTTCGCACAGATTTTTTTAGAGGGATCTTGAAGATCATATTTAATTTTCCTTTTTCCTCCGTGGTTATGTGCAACAATTGCATGTATTATTGAATTCTACACATAATTTTGATTGTTAAATGTAGATTTATGTCTTGTTTGCTTCATTTAAAATAATAACTGTTAAGCACACTACTAAAAAATATATATATTTCCAACCTGCACTGCGACGATTAAGAGATCTGTTGCCAGCAGATGCAGATCTATATCTTATATCAGCAGCAAGGAAACTGCCTTGATAGCAACTGAGTTTCGACACAGTTGTGATGTGCAGGATGTGTCTCCTCGAGATTCAGGAGAAAAGGTGCTGGGCCAGTGAAAGTCGGGAAAATAGGATTCTTTTTTTTTTCTTTTCAGTTCCTAAGAAGTCTTACTTGGCAAGTGATCAAATAAACATGAGTGTATATAAGATAAGCTCATGGTGCTTCACAGTCAGACAGCCTCAGCAGTGAAGAACACTTCACATCAAGAGGAGCCTCATCACTGCTAGATAAACTCTAAAAAAAAAAGTCACTATTCGCCACAAGGATGAATTCTGCGATCCAGTTCATCGTTCTTCTGGCCTGCATCACCATCTGCACCTCTGCAAGTAAGTGCTCTGCAAGCATTTTCTTTAAGTATCAAACCAATCATAAATTTAATTTTGAATTAAAATGATGCATTTATTTCATGAATATATCCATTCTTAATATATTCCATCATTGTTCCCCCAGGCATTAAGAAATGCCACTGTGTGAAGACAGACAAAGCAGTGAGGCCCAAACTCATCGCTCATGTCAGAGAGCATAAACCACGTCCATACTGCAACGAACATGAAGTAATGTAAGTGTCTATAGAAACAAAACAAGTATTAGATAGACTTACTATAGCATCAGTTATAGGTTGTTTGAATTAACCTGTTTTTTTCATCTCCTGCAGTGTCATTCTGAAGGATAAAAGCAAGCTCTGCCTTGACCCAGACTCAGAATTCACTAAAAGAGTTCTGGAAACAATAAACAGGTAAGTTTCTATTTTTATATTCTTTTCATATCAGTAATAAATCAACACAATACAATAAGAGTTAATGTTTTATTGGTTTTAATAGCATGCAAGTGTCATTAGGAGGATCTGTAAATCAGGAATGAACGCTAATCAGCAAAGAGGCAAAAAATCGGAGATCTGAGTAAAAATGCATGTTTTTTTTTCCAGCATAACATTCTTGCAGTTCTTACCTCAACAGTTAATACACTTTGTATTATTTTATTGTTATAAAAATAATGCAAATAGTATCACGATGAAAAAATGTATCGCTTTTGTCTAAGTATCCCTTTTGTATAATCCTTTCATGTCAGTTTAACTCAGTGAATTAATAGCACTTGTTTTAGCAGTGTTAATAGCATTAAAGTTTCACTAGGAGGCGCATTAAGGAGGCATAAAACTTAATCAGCAAAAAGGGAAAAACAGCCGCCTCTTAAAACTCAGAACTTAAAGAACTTAAAACCTATAACACATTAAGTCTTTCAGTGCCTAAACAGCTCATATATATTTTATATCAAGACCAAATTATATGACAAAATATTAACAAATATCTTTATATATATATTAGGGCTTACTGTTATGGCCCTGTATTTTCAAGGTGTTTGATATTTATTTACAACAACTGCATGACTCAGTGTTGTGGCGTTTAAAATGCATGACCCTATTTTGTTTTTCTTCACAGATCAAATAAAAAAACAGACAAGATGGACACAGTCAAACCAGAAACAACCACTGCAGCAACCACAACCTCTGCAGCATCACTATAACATGGTTATGCATCACTGCTGGAACATTTGCACAATGGGAGCCACTGTTTGTGAGGTTTCTTTCTGCACAAGGAGCTTGGAGTTGTCATAAAATCTTGGCACACTGTGTTAGTTGTTTTTTTTTATGTGATATGATTAGTTGGTAGTTAAATTCATGAATGTTTTTTGATATTTATGAGGAACCTGTTTTGATTTTCAAAGAATTAATTTGAATTCTTAGAAAGAATTAATCTTGTAATCTTTATTACAATATCTGTTATTTTGCTTTTTAAGTTCCACCTTAAATGTACACTACTGCTTATGAGATAAAATGAATGTATGTAAAATATAATTTATACTAAACCACATTTAATAAAACTAAAAAGTGTATGTATGTATGTAAAATATAATTAACACTAAACCACATTTAATAAAACTAAAAAGTGTATATTTTCTTTTTTTTGTATTTTGGGATTACCTTTTCTTCAGAGGCATCACAACAAGATCAAGCTTCCCTGTGTAAACTATAAACCACACCATAAGAACTTACTGATTCTTTACTAAGTTTTTTAAATTACTAAACAGTCCATTTAAATAAAAAAATATTCATATATTGCCAATTCACAACAAATGCAGCATAGGAGAAGTTTACAACACAAAATGTATACAAATTTTATCCAGGATCATAAAATTCGGTGTAAATTCAGTTTGGAGAAATCAAATTTCTTCCATATAGTTTGGTTCAGCACTGATGAGGCAAATCAAATGTATTTGATTGTTTTCTGCCAACCTAAAAACATTGTTACCGCAAGTAAAAACCCATCACCTTGGGGATCAGTGGGCTGCCATTGTGCGGCGCCAGGGAGAACCAGAGTGGTGGTATTGGGGATCGAACCGGATACCTAGAACCTTCTCAGAACACAAGCACACTGCTCTAACCACTAGGCCAACACTGTCCTATCTTAAGCTTTGGTAGTTTTAATTTACGAAAAAATTAAAAACCTAAATACTCTTTAGAGGCCGTAGTGTAGCAAACGCTTACTTCTGTAGTGACGTTGAACTAGGACAGAAGACAAAAATTCAAGCTCAAACTATTTTATTTAAATTTCATGCTCTCTTAACTCTGATATAATTTTGGTTTTAGTTAATAGATGATTGTTTGGCGTAGGGAAAACAAAGCATGGCCTTTAAAAGTTCTAAATTGAAATCTGAAATGTGGACTTTGCTTCTATCTTTAACCCTTCTGAACTTTGATTACAACTGCATTTCTTATTTGGTGACTCTCTTTAATATTTTGTTAAATTGCAACTATATTGCTGTTAAAGTAAAGCTAACATGATAATTTGTTGCCACATCAGCTCCCCAGGTTTAATTGGTTGGCAGAGAGAAGAATGCCACTGAAACACTCTAAGTTACCTCATATAATTTAAAGATATACTGTGTGCACGTCTTAGTCTGTTTCCACAATAGACACCATGATCAACCTGGACCTTCTTTATTATCACAAGGCTCCTGGACTCAGATGGAGTTTGTTATCCTTCCTGGTCTGCAGCTGGAACCAGCTGGAACTGAAAGTGCATGCCTAATTACTTCCAAGGTCAAAGCTACCCCGTACACTGCAAACACACTCACAAGTTCAACAATTCCTCACAACAATAATATAATTTAAAAGTTTTATATAAGGCTTTGTAAAACACAGTCATGATTATATATTTGTGATACATCCCTATAATTGATTGATTGTCTTTACTGATCTAACAGTGGAAGAATGTACTCGTTACATCAGCTCAAATAGTCAAAGGAGAAGAATAAGCTGACAAAGGAAGAAAAATGTGCATGGAATATAAGCTCAAATATCTTCCACATTGCCCAAACCTACAATGCTTTAATCTGTTTTTTAACCATTCCATTGTAAAGCAGGATAAGGATCTTTCTTTTTTCAAGTCTTCTGCTTTAGTAAGCTTTCTTTGGCCCTTCTGATGAAAAGCATACTTTCACTATAGGGGTGTTTTCAGGCTGATGTGAGAGATGACTAAATTTCTGTTCTGGCCTCATCTGACCAGAGTACATTCTCCTTCTTCTTGTGTGTCCTGCATGGTTTGCTGTAAAGTTTTAACAGTTTCTTTCAACGGCTGTTTTCATCTTCACAATAAAATCTAGATTTATGGATTGCACTGGTCCTTTTAATAGATTCTCCAACAAATGTTGTGGATCCCTCTCTGACCAATGCACTCCTTAAGCTTAAAAGCCATGAATAAATAGTATAAAGGAAGGCAGTTGTTTGCACAGAATTTTTTTTAGAGGGATCTCATTGTGAATTATTTTGAAGATCATATTTAATTTTCCTTTTTCCTCAGGGGATATGTGCAACAATTGCATGTATTATTGAATTCTACACATAATTTTGATTGTTAAATGTAAATTTATGTCTTGTTTGCTTCATTTAAAATAACTGTTAAGCACACTACTAAAAATATATATATATATTTCCAACCTGCACTGTGACGATTAAGAGATCTGTTGCCAGCAGATGCAGATCTATATCTGATATCAGCAGCAAGGAAACTGCCTTGAGGGCAACTGAGTTTCGACACGGTTGTGACGTGCAGGATGTGTCTCCTCTAGATTCAGGAGAAAAGGTGCTGGGCCAGTGAAAGTCGGGAAAATAGGATTCTTTTTTTTTTTTTCAGTTCCTAAGAAGTCTTACTTGGCAAGTGATCAAATAAACATGAGTGTATAAAAGGTGAGGCTCATGGTGCTTCACAGTCAGACAGCCTCAGCAGTGAAGAACACTTCACATCAAGAGGAGCCTCATCACTGCTAGATAAACTCTAAAAAAAAAGTCACCATTCGCCGCAAGGATGAATTCTGCGATCCAGTTCATCGTTCTTCTGGCCTGCATCACCATCTGCACCTCTGCAAGTAAGTGCTCTGCAAGCATTTTCTTTAAGTATCAAACCAATAATTAATTTATTTTGAAATAATATGATGCATTTATTTCATGAATATATCCATTCTTAATATATTCCATCATTGTTCCCCCAGGCATTACGAAATGCCACTGTGTGAAGACAGTCGAAGCAGTGAGGCCCAAACTCATTGCTCATGTCAGAGAGCATAAACCACGTCCATACTGCAACGAACATGAAGTAATGTAAGTGTCTGTAGAAACAAAACAAGTATTAGATAGACTTACTATAGCATCAGTTATAGGTTGTTTGAATTAACCTGTTTTTTTTATCTCCTGCAGTGTCATTCTGAAGGATAAAAGCAAGCTCTGCCTTGACCCAGACTCAGAATTCACTAAAAGAGTTCTGGAAACAAAAAACAAGTAAGTTTCTCTTTTTTATATTCTTTTAATATCAGTAATAAATCAACACAATACAATAAGAGTTAATGTTTTATTGGTTTTAATAGCATGCAAGTGTCATTAGGAGGATCTGTAAATCAGGAATGAACGCTAATCAGCAAAGAGGCAAAAAATCGGAGATCTGAGTAAAAATGCATGTTTTTTTTTCCAGCATAACATTCTTGCAGTTCTTACCTCAACAGTTAATACACTTTGTATTATTTTATTGTTATAAAAATAATGCAAATAGTATCACGATGAAAAAATGTATCGCTTTTGTCTAAGTATCCCTTTTGTATAATCCTTTCATGTCAGTTTAACTCAGTGAATTAATAGCACTTGTTTTAGCAGTGTTAATAGCATTAAAGTTTCACTAGGAGGCGCATTAAGGAGGCATAAAACTTAATCAGCAAAAAGGGAAAAACAGCCGCCTCTTAAAACTCAGAACTTAAAGAACTTAAAACCTATAACACATTAAGTCTTTCAGTGCCTAAACAGCTCATATATATTTTATATCAAGACCAAATTATATGACAAAATAAGAACAAATATCTTTATATATATATATTAGGGCTTACTGTCATGGCCCTGTATTTTCAAGGTGTTTGATATTTATTTACAACAACTGCATGACTCAGTGTTGTGGCGTTTAAAATGCATGACCCTATTTTGTTTTTCTTCACAGATCAAATAAAAAAACAGACAAGATGGACACAGTCAACCCAGAAACAACCACTGCAGCAACCACAACCTCTGCAGCATCACTATAACATGGTTATGCATCACTGCTGGAACATTTGCACAATGGGAGCCACTGTTTGTGAGGTTTCTTTCTGCACAAGGAGCTTAGAGTTGTCATAAAATCTTGGCACACTGTGTTAGTTGTTTTTATTTTATGTGATATGATTAGTTGGTAGTTAAATTCATGAATGTTTTTTGATATTTATGAGGAACCTGTTTTGATTTTCAAAGAATTAATTTGAATTCTTAGAAAGAATTAATGTTGTAATCTTTATTACAATATCTGTTATTTTGCTTTTTAAGTTCCACCTTAAATGTACACTACTGCTTATGAGATAAAATGAATGTATGTAAAATATAATTTATACTAAACCACATTTAATAAAACTAAAAAGTGTACATTTTCTTTTGTTGTATTTTGGGATTAGCTTTTCTTCAGAGGCATCACAACAAGATCAAGCTTTCCTGTGTAAACTATAAACCACACCCTAAGAACTTACTGATTCTTTACTAAGTTTTTTAAATTACTAAACAGAAAAATATTTATATGTTGCAAATTCACAACAAATGCAGCATAGGGGAAGTTTACAACACAAAATTTATTCAAATTTTATCCAGGATCATAAAATTCTGTGTAAATTCAGTTTGGAGAAATCAAATTTCTTCCATATAGTTTGGTTCAGCACTGATGAGGCAAATCAAATGTATTTGATTGTTTTATGCCAACCTAAAAACATTATTAAATAAAAACAAAAAACCGACAGACTTGTTGTGATTTAACGGGCTAGCTTAGTTCTTTAGCAAGTTAACAGTAAAAATTATATAGAAAGATAAACGAAACAACACAAACACGATTAAATGCTTTCAATAGACCCGTATAAGAGGAAATAAAGAGGCCCAAAAGTACAGAGCTGAGTGTTGATTGATTTACATTTTAAGACAACCAGATCCAGTTTATATATGAAATACTAAGTCAATTCAGTCCAATTAAACAGACAGATCCAGAGTTAAGTATATACATAATCACTATATAAATTATGCCCAACTCTGACTAAGGGAAGGGAATATTTATGTCCACCCGAGGAGGGGTGGTAAATATGTATTTAATCAGATAATATTCAGACTGTCATATATTGTTTGTGAACACAAGTCCTACTGGCTCTGTGTTAGAACAACAAATGAAAGTGTGAATCGAACTCAAATCATGTCCAAACAGATAACTCTGGATGTATCTGGAATAAATTCACTATAACTTCTGTTCAAAATATGATTTATTAACCCCAAGTAATTAAGCTCCTTGTAAAACATGTTACAGTTAAAACATCTTGACTAAACTAGTGAAACTCAACTCAACTAAGCTACTTAGTACAAAGAAGAAAGAAAACTTGGTTGACTAGAATCAATAAAATGATGCAAATAACATTAAACTCTAGCATGGATTATATGTTTGAGAAGCAAATTTTATCTGGAATAACTTTGAATGTGAACAAATTAACATTTAGCTAATGTAGAGCAATTGGAATGTGTTCAAACTAATTCAGAATGCAAATCCAAGAGGTAAATAAAAAAGAAAAACAATTATCCATCTCTCTGCTTCCACTTCAGCAGAGGAGACGATGCCATGGTGATCTCCAGCAGTCTATAGGTGAGGTATAACCTCTACAGGTCCACAGTCTGTCGCAGGGCTACACAGAGGCATACAAAGACACACAACCATACACACACTCACACCTAACGGAAATTTAGAGAAACCAATTGACCTAACAGGTTAGATTTGTTAACCTACAGTAACAGTCATGTTTTTGGACTGTGTGAGGAAGCAAGAGTACCCAGAAAGATGTGATGCATGCACAAAGAGAACATGCAAACTCCATGCAGAAAGACCCCAGGTTGGAAATCGAACCCTGAGGCTTCTTTCTGCAAGGCAACGGTGCTACCCACTGCTCCACCATGCAGCCCCTTGGAAAATAATGGTTTATTAAATTATTTGCTTAAACAGATATCAGTAATCTTTAGTTTATTGATTCTGAGGACTTCCATTTAATGAATTTTGGTCATAATTTGTAATCCAAATGTAATGAGCATATGAGAAAACACATGAACATAAATGTTATAATAGTGTTTAAACCCTTAGTGAAGTAAAGCCCGCTTTAGCTTTATAAACAACAGATCAAAACATGTCAGCATGGCGTACCATACGGTTCAACATGTTAGCGTGTCTTTACCCAAAAGTAAACACATGAAATTATCATAAATCATCAAAGAAACAAATTAGGTGGCTAGAAACTCTCCCTGGCTTGTGTGTCAGACCTTCAACCTCTGTATCCCTGTTTGGAAAGCTTGAGTTTTTCTCCAGCATTTAGCAGCGGGCCACACATCAGGGGTTACACACCTCCAGCCTCTTCTAGGCATCTAAGGCTACGTTCACACTGCAGCCTGAAGTGACCCAATTCCGATTTTTTTGCCCATATGTGACCTGTATCTGATCTTTTTATGACAGTCTGAACGACACAGATCGGATTTTTTCAAATGCGACCCAGGCCACTTGGATATGTGGTCCTGAATCCGATACGTATCTGATCTTTTCAAATGCGACCTGTGTCTGTACGGCCAGGTCGCATTCATCCGACCTACACGTCATTGATACTTGACAAATGTTACTAAACGTTACTAATCTGCATCCTACTAAGCGGAGGCGGGAAAAACTAACAACCATGGCGGAAGATAACACAGAGAGCAGTCAATGGAGAGAAAGTGAGGTTGCTGACTTAATTCATATTTGGAAAGATATCTCGATTCAGACCAAACTCGAAGGGTCTTACCGGAACCTGGCTCTCTTTCTTTTTGATCTTCTTAAAAAGATTTCGTTCGTAATGTGCCTGCTCCTGTTGGAGAAGAACTTAAAGAACGCAATATACGCTGCGGTATTACGAGTCATGTTTACTTCCGCACACACTGAGGACGCTTGCTACATGTGACGTCATCGCGTCCTCGAGTGCGCATGCGGGACACTTTGGTTGAACGCTTTCAGTTCACACAGTAGATCACATACAAGTCGCATATACTTGGAAGTGTGAACGGACACGCAAAAAAATCCGATTTCACAAAAAAATCTGATTTGAGCATTAAGGCCTGCAGTGTGAACGTAGCCTAAATGTCCTGAAACTCAGAGAGAAATGTTGCAAACAGCCCAGTTTGCAGCAATATGGTTCTGAGGGGGGTTGGGGGGGATGCATGACCTTTGGGGGTGTGTTGGAAGTTTGGGGGCTGCATTAGGGAGGTTGTAGAAGCTGAAGAGTACAAACTGCAGGCAAATTATCCTCCTAACCCCATGGTATACAAATTGGTTCTCAGTGTCCACAATGATTATCAAGGTTTATTGCACAATATGAAAAGTCATCTTTAAATGTCAATGCAACTTCATACATGTCAATCTCCTTTGACTTCTCCATTAGACTAAAAGGTTTTGCATTGCCTCATTTTTTAAACATGAAAGTAGACAGCAGGTATCAAATTACTTTTATTTGACAGGGCATTAATCAAGACGGTGAAATGTGTGGGAAGAAAGCAGGCAGAAAGCTAATGCTACCAATACCCTCAAATGTGATTGTGTTCCTGGAAACAGAACAACTTTCCCAATCTTCTTAGGGACAGCAACAGGTCATACTTTTCATTCCAGCTGAATATAACATTGGATTTTGGCCGTTCTCGTTTATAATTTGATAGCAAAAAATGTAGCTGAATCCAATTGTTTGGAGTGGGAGATGTATACAAGAAATTAAAAGAAGCATACCACAGAACTCTGATGAGGGATATCTTGTTATTGGTGTGATTGTTAAGGACATAAAGCTTAAAAACATCTCTGTCCTAAAAAGAAAATGATTTGTTCTATTAAAAATTAGGCTGACCAACTGGAGACCAGCTTGGGTCATTTTCTAAAAAAATTTTCATGCATTTTATTCATGTAGCAATCCACCTAATTATAAGATTTGATCAAAGTTATTCTTCCCTCAATAGATCCTAAAGCATTAAGCCACAGAGTTCAGACACCAGCAGCTCACTGATGAAGGAAACTGATATTTCCCCTAAAAACACTGCAAGGAAATTAGTGCTTTCATACAAACCTCTGCTACATAACTGGGAAAAAAAACAAATAATATTATTCGTATTATTATAACAATAATAAAAGAACACAAAAAATAATCAGAAATTTTAAAAATTATAAATATTTTTTTAAAGTTTGTGTTTTCATTTGTATTTTTAAATAATCCCAGGTAATTGCAGCTATTTGCTTAAATTGGTTGTTTAAAAAAGTCCTTTTTTTTTCTAGAATGTTTCTTTAGGTGATCATCCATCCATTTTTCGTTACACTTATCCCAAGCGGAGTCGCGTGGGGTGCTGGTGCCTATCTTATGCTGTCTGCATGCAAGAGGCAGGGTGCACCCTGGACATGTCGCCAGTCCATCACAAGGCAACACAGAGACAAACAACCATTCACGCAAACACTCACACCTAAGGAGAATTTAGAGAAGCCAATTAACCTAACAGTCATGGTTTTGGACTGTGGGAGAAGGCTAGGGTACCCAGAGAGAACCCACACGTGCACAGGGAGAACATGCAAACTCCATGCAGAAACAGCCCGGGAACCTTCTTTGCTGCAAGGTAGCAGTGCTACCCACTGTACCACTGAGTAACTGCGAAACTTTCGTGTATTTTGTCATAATTATTATTAGAATAAAACAAAGCTTATTCTGGCATGAAGAGGGTGACTTTGACTTTAAAATGATTGAAAGCCACTGCACTAGAGTACTATATATGATTCATGATTAAATTGTTTCTGCAGCTCTGCATTTTTCAATGTGATCCTTGGTATGCAAGGTTTTTAGAACCAGTTACATTATCAGTATGCCAGACATTAAAATCACACCATCAGCTATTGCAGTCAAAAATATAACTGTTAGGGTCTCTGGGGTTTCACTGTTTTTCTGGTGTGAGTGGGCTTCCTGTCACAGAGAGGATCTTTGCTGGTGGCTGGGTCGACCGGTGCTGCTGCACAACTGAAAACATTTCTCAATCAAGATGATTAGCGTGTATATAAGGAGGCAAAAGATCATCTTTCTTCATCGAGGTGATTACTCGTGATGGTACTCCAGCCAAAGACCTAAACCAGGAATATCTTCCTAGTTGAAGTGTCTTCCTGTGAATTTTTTTTTTAATGAGGACTTTGTTATTGCTCCAGTCAACCAGGGAAACTCAGTCTTCATCACCTGCTTTCCTGCTCTACAGCATGACATCTCTTGGAGGTACCAACGCTCTTGGATCTCGCTCACATTCTTGTGGACCACTGGAGTCCAGTTTTCAAAGCCCCCCCACCCCCCCCCACCCCCAGCCCCC